AAACTTCAATATTTCGAAATTGAAGGACGCTAATTTACTCAAAATTGGTACACCCCGGCTTACCATTTAGCGGAAGGTTTCGGAAGGGTGAAAAAACATATATTTAATACTTGCGCTGGGTATTTAATGTTCGGCTCCGCCCGAACTTAGACTTTCTTACTTGTTAGTGTATAAATTACGTTTACAAAAACATCATACGCGTTCACATCTCAGACAACGAATTTTTCGATTTTATCCCACTTAGGCGTGCGACTGCGCGTCGTCGTTCATGGTGCAGCATGTCAAATGGTGTATCTAGCAGAAGAGTTTGAAGCTCACCTAAAATCGCGACAGCACAGAGTCAAAAGTCCTAATTGTAATCCGTCCTGAGTTGAACAAAAAAAAGTAGTATTCGCACTCTTTTTGAGCAGGACTAGAAAATAATTGAATTACTATAGAGAATCCATGAGCACACAAATTCCTCTAACTGAACTTTGGTACACTGTTCAGGCACTTTGCAAAAATTTTTCGCTTCCTAGCACTTAGTGGTGGGAAAAAAATGTTCAATGTTGCTGCACTGCCGCTATTTTTTGTACATTTTTGCAAGCATTTTTCAACTTTACCATCCTTTTGTGTTTCTTAAAATTTTTCAATTAAAATAACGGGAAACTGCAATGAGTTAAACTTTTTCATTGCAATTGCTGTTGTTCTTATTATGGAACAATTTTAGTAGCGAACAATTGCGAAATTGAAGTGTACAAACTTTTAAAACATTTGTAGTTGCAACAAATGTTTAACCCCTTTCTTGCTGATTTTTTGGTATTTTTTTTGTTTCATTGCAGGAAGTCGAGTGAGGTACCAAAGTAAGAAAGTAGCACATGTAGTAGGAAGAAACTAAGCGAATAAAGCGAAACAATAAAAAGCGAAAAAACGAATGACTAAAGGAAGTGTACGTGCAACTGAAAAAGTAGAGCAAAAACTGAAAGAAAGGAAAACGAGAAGAGGCAGAAGAGGTGTGAAAAATTCCACAGCCAGGAAGAGTAGCAGGAAAAGCAGTCGCAACAGGAACAACAGTAGCCAGAATAACAACAGCAAGAATAACAAAAGTATGCCAAACAATTGCACCACTACAACACTGCGAAGCACCAACAAGAGCAACAACAAGGTAGGCTGCTAGTGAGCCAACAACAGATTACGATGAAATGTTGACGACAGGAAGTGTGTGACGACAGGCGACAACGGCGCCGAGCCGAAGGCGTTTGGGTGGTGGGTGTGAAGGCATTAAAGAGTAATTAAGCAAAAGTTGCTGCTGCCAGCACGAAAGACAAAAACAGCAGCAATTGTAGCAGCAACAACAAAAATTGCATGAATAAAGCTTACTGTTATTTGGCAAGGAATGCGTTAAGAAAACACAATGCCTGCAACTAATGTAGGCTGCAGCAATGGCAATAATACCAACTATAACAACAACAACAAAAACTATTTGCAAAAACAGTGACACATCAAACCAACTACAAGACAATGCTGCCACACATTAGCGAGGCAACGAGTTTGTATAGTGTATTTGTAGGTGTAGAAATTGTGCTGAGTTGTTGCAAAGCGTGTACGGGAAGTGTTTAAATTAGGGTGGCAACACTGATGGCACTTTGCCAACAATGCCAAGTCAGTTGCAGACGCAAAAACAATGAAAAGTAGAAAAAATATAAAAATAAAAGACAAAAGCAAAAATATTAAAACTTTAAACAGCAAAACAGTGAAATGAATTGGTTGGTGGTGGGTGAGGTGCACGCTCATTTAACGGTGCTAGCAGTTGCTGGTGGAGTGTATGCGCGTGTGTGAAGAAAATTAAGTAAAGTGTGGACGTAAACACTTCCGGGTGGCTAAAATGACATTAGCACGACGTAGCTGTTGAGTGACAGTTGCGGAGCGGCAAAGGAAGGAAGTGTTGCATCACACGCGCGCACCGGTGTTAGTGAGAAGTCTAGGTGGTCTTTTGTGGGTAGTAACGGGGAAAAGTTGCGATTTAACAATACATGGACAAAGTGAAAAGTTTGAGTGAAAGTTCATCAACAGTTTAAAATTCATCTTTTTATACAATTTTATAGAAACTGAGAGGAAACTTAAAAAATACAAAATAAATGCTTAAAAGTTAATGAAAATAATTTATGAAATATGAAAACATCTAGCTCAAAACTTTATGAAAATAGATAATTGTGATTGTATTGTAATTATGTATGTATGTCATATTTTCTAAAACAGGTTAGTTTTGGCCAGGCAGCATACTAAATACCTTCATCGGACACATTGTTATATTACACAGCATCTATACAATGGAGTGGTGAAAAAAGTGAAGTCGGGATTTTAATGCTGCCACCCGCAGGATTTTTCTGTACCAAAACAGTATTCCTGTTTTATAATTAAAAATCAAAAAATTTTTAGATGTCATACAAAGCGCTCAAGGTTGTTCATGTATTTTATATGGAAAAATAGTTTTTTTCGTAGAAATAATATATATTTCTTACAAATCGATATTTTTGGATCGGAAAACTCTGTTTCTTTTCAAGCCTCAAAATATTTTTTTATTAAAAAAAACACAGGTTTCCGGGCGTGAAAGAATTTAAAATCCGACCTAAATTTTATTTACCACCCTAATACACACCCTTCCCTCCTATATAAACCAATACGTGGGCGGCTAAGTGAAAGATCGCGCTGTCTCGGATGCTGGTCTAAAAACGTCCTACCTAAGCAAATGCTTTAAGAACGCCCTACCTCAGCTGCCAAATTTATATTGAAATAGGGCTTTTTCGAAGCGGAAGAAGAGATAGAGCATTCTTCAACAAAATTCTGATATAGGGCGTTCTTAAACCATTTTCTGAGCTGCAGAATTTTCATACCGGCAGCCGAGATAGGGCGATCTTCCACTCAGCCCTTGATATAGAGTTGATGAATTTGAGCAATCGCCACATATGTATGTCCGCTATATCGCTTAGGTGCTCGCAGAGTATATGCCTTCGGTCTGTTTATCGATTTTGATAGCTCCTACAGAAGTGATTCTTATGAACAAATGAGCCTTCCTATTTCTCTTCTGCTCAACGTAAGCACCTGGGATCTTTTCAACTCCCTTTCCGGCCACATGATTTTTATCGTATTTTAAGTGTAGAGAAGTTTCGATCTAACGTCGTCTTCTGAGAATAAGATTTCTTGTATATTGTGCCCAAGGTGGTGAAAGAGGAAGAAGAGTGTTTTTCTTTGAAAGCTCATACAGACCACACACACAACCCTCTTATTATATCTCTGTTTAAAGTTGCCAGACAACTTCAGTGTTTTCCAAGATCATACTGATGCATTCAGTAACCACATACTCCGTTAGAAAAGCAGTGATAACCAACTGCAAAAATAGACTTGCTGTGTACTTTGAGGCAAGCGATGTTTGCATCACCATTTAAACGAATGATTTTGGTTGAGCAATGTTGAATCGCCAATCTCATGTAAAAACAGGTTAGGTCACCGGAATGCTGTGAACAAGCGACAGAACGCAGAAAAGTCCTCAAAGGGTTTGGGTCAAAGTCTACTGTTAACATTGCGTGGGTGCAAGGCCACAGAGACATATTAGGTAACAGTTATCTAAGTGCAAAATATGGTTGAAAAAACACGCTTCGTCGAGAAGGCAAATAAAAGGTGATCGGAAGAACCCACGTCTGACACGGCGCGACCTACCTTGCCCAGCTTCGTCATTAAAAAATCCGACGCACTCATTCGATTCAATTCGAGAAGACCCCTTACTAGCGCCTGTGTCCGAAATTATAAAGGGACACTACTTGATGGGAAGCCGTGCTAACAATGTGAACTAATCTCCTAATGACTTATACCGAAACTTACGCGATAACGAAGAATTTGAAAGTACGCAAAATCACCTCTGTTACTGCCAAGTTTTCTAGGGGTCAAGGAGATGCTCATTTAACTATTACCTTTTAACCTGTGTGGCAGCTAGTTGGTTATACTCATAGGTGAATAGACGGGATCGAATATGAGCTTTCAATTGGTACCGCAATGGGGCCATTGGAACTAAATGCGCCTCTCTCCGCTAGCCGCTTCACTTAACCTAACCTACTTTGCTAATAATAGCGCCTCGGACTCATTAGCAGTAGCATTATGAAAGTGTGTCCTCAGAGGTACGTAGATCCAGAGATTTCTTCACAGTATCTGTGTCCAAGTACAATCAGATCTCTGCAGGTACCCTGAGGAGTTCCTAACTAAGTTCCATTCTATCTAACGAAAATTCTACGTTACTGTTGAAATTTTAGCAACAGGTTTTTTCTGTACAACTTGGGCAGATTTTCGACTTCCAAGTTCCATTTAGGCCGGGTTTGGTTCAATGCCCTACAACAAGCGCCGCGTATTTAGAAGAATTCCATTTGGGGGGTTCGTTCTTTCAGCCTGATACAAATAGATCATATTGGATACAACAGTGGTTTAAGTTTCCGGAGTTTGTGTTGAATCCATATACGAAACTTTTCTGATTCATTAAATGGAAGTGATTTTTTTGTTTGTTTACTTATTTTCAATGTTTTTCCAATCTCTCAAGCCGTGAGGTCATTCGGACCGTGACGAAAATTTGATATACAGATTACTAGCGTGACTTTAGTGCTGCCAAAAGTGAACTATCACCAGCTGTTGCGAACATATGTAATGTCTTTTCCCTCTACCCACTATTTATGCCGCATTTTATACAGTGTTTTTTTTTAAATTTGTTTCGTATAGTCAACTTCCCAAGACATAATGCATAAGAGAACAAGTAAAAAAATCGTGTCAAGCATAAGATAAAACGCGAACTCAGAAATCATTAAATAAAAGGAGTTTAATAACTACTGAATAACGCATCGCTCGTCCGTCCAACCGCCTAAACCAGTCTAAATGTTCCCGTGGCGGCGACGACGGCGGTGCGTAAAACAAATGCAACAAACACGTCTGTTACTGCAACTAAAATGTCGGACGTCGAAAGAGCACGCAGCGCAACAACGACAACAATAAATACAGCGACATCGACAGCAGCAGAGCAAGCAACCAACGAGCAACAACAACAGCAGCAACAATACAAACAGCAAACAGCAACTACAACTCCAGGCGCAACGGTGAAATTACAACATCAACAACTCTATCACAATCAGCTCTATCATCAAAATCATCAACATCAGCAATATAGTAAACCCACAGCGGTAACACAGCAACGCCAGCAGCAACAGCAACAGCAACCGCAACAACAACAACCCCAATACCAATTGATTACCACAGCTGGGGGTGAATTTGGCAACGGTGGAAACGAGGCATCCTTCTTTGGCGGCTGCTTTGGTCTGGTGCTGAAAGTACTATTCTCGCCTCCCGGCCTGGTGGCGCTAGTTGTTGTCTATTCTATGCTCGGTGCTTGCATTTTTCCCCTGCTCGAAGCGCCACAGGATATTAATACTTCGGCGGCAATTGCAAAGAGTAGAGAGGAGTGCTTACGTGAGCTGTGGATTATAACGGGTGAGTGAAATTACAGAAATTTTAACAAATATTCACATGTACTGAGGGATGTGTCTACACGGTGACAGGTAATAAGGTCAATTGACTTTATTTCCCACCCTGGTGCGAAATAAAGTCAATTGACATTATTACCTTTTCAAAAGCGAAATAAAGTCAACAAAAATTTGGAAATAAAGTCATTGACGATATTTCCTCATTCAAATGGAAATAGCGTCAACAAAGCTTAAAGTATGTCAATACATAGAAAAAAATGTTGTTCTTACAATAAACCTTGCCCCGTAAGTGTTGTTTTTTAATTGTTTAATTGTGATATTAATCCACACGCAATCATGAACTACCACCATTTGATTTTATTAAAAAGATTTAAATTACGAATATGTAAAAGAAAATATGAATATGAGAAAAAGAAGTGCACGCAAAGGATTTCACAAAAATGTATTGAAATGTAATTTTTTTACAAAAGTGCCATTTTGGCACTTTGTGCCAAATTGAAAAATTAAGTGCCATTTGAAGTAAAATAGGGACAAATGGCATGGTTTGAGCCAACTTGGCATCCCTGCTTCTAATAACTTACAAATATAAAAATGTGAAATATCGAGGGCATGAATTCATTAATACCCTCTATCTGCAATTTGCACAAAAACTAATTTGTGATTATAGAAACCATCTGGGACTTATTACCTGTCATTGTATAAGGTAGCATTAATATCACTGATGACAGTTAAAGCTTAGGTGGATTTTTATATCAGAATCTCATCTTTGTGAACAGTGAAAAGTGTGTAGATAGAGGGTATTTTATTGAATATAAGCCCTCGATGTTTAAAATATATAAAAAATTTATTTCAACGTATACAAAAAATAAATCTACCTGCGTTACAGCACGGTGGAAACGGGGAAGGGGCGCCGCGGCGTAGCGTGACGTGGTGTACGCAACACGATTTTTTAATGTCCATTATTTGACCTTTAGATTTTTTAATAACCATATTTTAAAATATTCTGCTTATTGTCTAGAGACGTACAATGAAATAAAGAAATGGAGTAAAAATTTTAAAGTAACAATTATTTGCCGAACATTGTAAATATGCCAATTTTCAACTAAGTTGGCCGTTTCAGTATTAAAAAAAAGACTTGGGTTTCTTAGCTAGGCTCTCTATAATCTCTTCAAAAATGTGGCTCAATAAAACATGTCCCGAAAATATTTGGTTCATATCAATATCATATTGCTCCGTATTTCAATTCACAAAGTGGCCCAGAAAAATATTTTAAGTATGTTAATCCAGGTAATATGCCGCCTGCAAGCCAAACTTTATTCAAATCCGTTCCGCTGTCTTAGCGTGAAAGAACAAGAAACATCCATACTTGCTCGCCCACTGAAAAATGTTCAAGTTTACAGGGTGCGACAGGCATTTGAAGAGAATTATTACTGCCTTTCCTTCGAATTTTTAGAGTTGAGTAAGTCACCCATAGGCTCTAATATTTATTCAATAAGGTCACCTACAGCGGCAAAAACAGCTTGAATTCACTGCCGAAATCGTTTGCATGCCAGATCGAATGTTGAATTAATCTAATATAGGATGGCTGATGAAAGCTACTACAAAAAAGATAATGAATAACTTGTTTCTTGTTGTGGAAAAGTGGGGGACAGGACATCGTAGTCCGTAGTTTCGAGAGGCATGCAGTTGGCGACACTCCTCTAAGTAGATGGTCTATAATGAGGCTCGTAAAAAAAATCCCGAGAATGGGGCAATCCCAAGAAGATATTTAGAATGAAACCTTTCAGTTCCAAGGAATGAAACTATCGCTGCTGAAGCTGCTGCCATAAAGGCAAATCCCAAAGTTTCGACAGTGAGTTTATCTGTATGTACGATGATTTTTTAACTTAGCCAAAAGATCCTTCAAATGGTGGTTGTCCCCCAGGTCTTCTGATATTACTGCGCCTGATTTTTTCTTGTTAAGTTATTGCGAGCAGGAAGTTTACACGTCAAACCAACAAATTTGAATATTTTTGAACAATACATTCGACCGATAGGTAATGCAATTCGTGCTGTAACCCTTCACACACTAAAGTGTAACTCTTTGCTAGGTTGCCGCATTTGCGTCGCCGAGTGTGGGGCAATTTAAATTCCAGCATTTTTAAAACCAATTAAAAAAGTAATACAAATCGTAATACAATACGTTTGAGTTTCTTAATGTTGCAATATTCATCAGCCACCCTATAGTTTTTGCGCTTAGAAAATCAGTGGTGCTATGACGTCTTTTATTGTGTATCTCTTATGTATTTTGTTAGATTCCTCACTTTCATTTATGACATCGAAAATTATAAAATCAAAATAAAAAATACGTGTATGTACGAAGTCGAGCGAATATACATATATGAGAATACTCAAATACCTGTCGCACCCTGTATAAGATAAGTATTTGGTAGGATATTCATTTCTCATTAACTTTTCCAAATATTCGTTTAACAAATTACATCATTTTTCACACTTGAACGCCTTTGAATGCTTTTTATAAAACAAAATTGTCAGCACAAATATAGAAATTTGTTATGCATCATTAATTGCATCAAAACACGCCCAAGGAAATTAATTGAATTACGAGAGTATTTGAAAAAAAAAATTATTTCATTCAAACGTTTAATACTATGGAATTATTGCTATTGTATTTATCAATAATCATGTGTGTGATAAATAACAATTTAATTTATTTGACTCAAAAAATAACAATAATTCAAACTTGTCTTTTTCGATTACATAAAGTTTTTGAATATAAACGGTAGAACACGAATGCAGATGCCTAGGCGTATGAGTAATTTTTGAGAAGTTTAAAAGTGAGATAAAATAAAATTTAAATTAATTAAAGAAAATAAAATAAAATATAAGAAAATGAAAAATTGAAGCGTTCGTGAAATTATCGCATGGAAGAAAAATATGGAAACCGGGTTTTAATATTTCCCCGTTAGATTTCATAGATCTTTATAAAAATAAACACAGTTCATTCAACAGCAAAAACCACAATAATAAAAGAAATGTTGGCCGCAACAATGCTGTAGGTGGTACCTTTGAAAAGTCAAAGATTTTTCCTCAGTATTTTCAAATCAATTTAAAAAATTAGCACTCAAAATTGGCATTCATTACCACAGCTGCTGAATTAATTTTAATTTAAAATATTTGATAAGCATTTATATCCAATGTCACGCTTAATGGCAAATATTAACAACCCCAAATAGTATAATTAGCATTATGGTTTTGAATTGATCGATTTTGATGTGTCAAACAGTAGGTCATTAGTTCATAAAGTTTCCATTGCACTCTGATAGTATTTTTGTATGTACCAATTTACACAGATATCTACTTGGTCTAATGTAATGCAGTCTGCAATTCATAATCACAATATTAGTACAACCATAAAAGCCACATTTACCACAAATTTTGTTAAGTTGAATGTAGCACATATACTATTATACAATATTATATGTATGTAACTACTTATACGTACATACGTGTGTACATACACACATGTAACTATATTTTTGGCTCAATTAATCAATGGTAAATAAGGCCGAAATTTGTTACAATTTCCAATTAAAAGCCAAATTACACCAATATAAATCTTTTAAATCAAATCCCTTTTATTTTAAAACTGTCATGTAAATATTTTAAACCTACAATCATAAATATATAAAGTATATATATAGTATATTAAAAAAAGTAAATTCTAATTGAATAATTGACAGTGGCATTAGAAGTCATTGTGGTACTAAAATAGCTGTAAATGTCATGCAATTTGTCATGTTATAAAAAACGACAATTATGGTGCATACAACATTACAAATTTGATTATTTGTGCTCAAAATAGCAAACATTGTAGTAATTAGGACTTTTATTAGGCAATTGTTTAGTATATATTCTGGCTTTTATTAAATATTTGGAAAACAAACCTAGTGGCCAAATTAAAATTCTATATATTTGAACAAATGTGTTATTGCCGAAATATGTAAATTTCGAAGTAAATTTTTAAATCGTCTATTGTGCGGCAAATAAAATTATTTTCAGGACACGCACAAATGCTTAAATTTAATTTTTACTACAGAAAGTAGCAAATTATTAACTAAATGCAGCTTGCATATGTCTGTATATAACATGCATGTATGTATGTATGTATGTATGCGTATAGAGAAGAGTGTGTAGAAAATGATAGTTTATACACTTTTGCGTGCGATTCATTCAAATGCACCATCCACTCGTGCGCAGCTTCTTCTCCCCGTATGCCACTCAACAGCCTCTTGTGGCCGAGACACTCGTAATATGCCATTGCATATGCAACTGAGTGTTGCTCATCCTTGCCGCATTATGTTACATCAATTCACTGAGCTCAAGCAGATGCTTAAACATAATTTCTGCATTTACAAACACCACCTAGGAAAAGTAAGTAGGTGTAAGGCTAGTGAGGTTTTTTGGTTATAAAACAGCATCGAGAAACAAACACCAAACGAATAATCCCATAAACACCGGTGGGAGACTTTAAAAAAAATTTAACCGTCATACAGCGTTCTCTTCCCGGAATTTCTGTCAAGAATTTCGTCCACAGATGGTTTGAGCACGATGCCTCAAATTGGTCACTATCCAGTCGCAGTTCTTTAGAAGTTGCTTCGACTTAAAACCATCCTCTGTGTGTACATTTAACAAATAACTTATTCGGGTTTCTTCGTCCCCCGTTCACGCTCGCCGATTGCATTACCTTCTTACACTGTTTTTTCGTACATATTCTTCTTGCCTTATCTACTGGCGTAAATCTACAAGTCATACCGATACCTTCTGTATCTGGACGTAAATATGCGATGCCATTCTCGGTGTTGCTCATCTCTTCTCAGTTGGGTCAAAATTGATGTGACTGCATTTTTCAAAGTTTCAATGGACTGTATAATGTGCTGTACCAAATATATTATCGGCGGTAGGCTGTTCCCCAAAATATGTTCCACATATTCAATTCTGCCCTCT